ATTTAAATAATTCATAAGCTTGTTTTCCAGCATTGCTCATAAAAACAGCAATTACACTGGCTGATAAAGAATCATTCAGATGCTAAATGCACGTGCTAATTCCATTTGATTCAGTCACAAATGAATTAGCATCTAAATGTCGTCTTTGTTTCGGTTTCTTTTCTCGTATTCAATATGGCAGACAAATATAGCCAAAATTGGATGAGGCAAAAATTGTGCACGAATGTGGCCATGGTTTCATCAATATGCAGAAAACAAATAAAGGTCTGTGAAAATGCAGCAATACCAACTAATAATTTCACTAACATTATTCATTTTCTATGTGGATGCGGATGAAGATAGCTAACACGTGTGATTTCAGCTTACGAAAAGACGAGTAAGTAAGAAAAAAAACGTGTTTTTCACAAAGTTAAAGATATAAGTGAAAGAATATGTTTGATGGAATAGATTCAAGAAGACAAATATTTTGGATCATCTCAAGAGACGTTTCACTTCGTGGTGTCAATCTTTGAAAAAAATCGACATTTTTTAAGTATCTCATTGTGAAAAAGCAGTCAGTTTTTATGCTAAAATTTTGCATCTAGGATTAACTTGCCTCGTTCTTGAGAATATTGGAAAATTTCTCAGAAATTTTATCTTCATTACTTGCTCGTTTTCACTTACCTTCACTTCTCAAGTCTACAAGTTATGCATCTCAAGTTTTTCAGTTTTCTTCAGCATTTCACCGCAAGTTACTTTTAAATATTTCAAAAGAAATGTAAGAAGCTAAGAATTTGCTGAAAAATTTACAAAGTTTTAAAGTAAGTCATAACTTGCAGAATAATGGAAACTAAAATAATTAAATAATATTTGATAAATGAAATATCTCATTTTAAACTTTTTTTTCACTTGAGAAGAAACTTTTCCGATCACTTACATAGCATGTTATAATTACAATTTCACGTTTTTCCAAGAGCCGATCATTTATTTAAATTTGGAATGATATTTTTAATGTAATTGAAAAAATCAATATATGTAATTAGCTGATAAATAGTATGAAATATTCGTATCAATCACAATTATTAAGCCATTTTTAGATAAAGTTGTCAATTTTAAATTTGTCCTCAAGAACTTTACCAAAGGCGTATTTAGCAATTTTAGTAAACGTCTTACATCTAGAGTTAAAGTTAATAATATATAGAGTCTACATATAAAGTTAAAGTTAATAAGCGACTGTCAAAACAATTCTTACAAAAAAAATATTGAGGGGTGAAAGGATTTGAGGCGCAGTGTGTTTTGACTAGCAAAGATTGAATTGTTCACAAGCTTTAGCACTTTCTAATCGCAAATATTTGTGTTGTAGCAGAGGTAAATAAGATAGACAGAAAAGTTTCCATAAGAACATAAATAGAAAAGATTTAGAAGAGAAAATTAGACCAAAGATACTACTTTAACTTGAAAGCAGAGCTAAGGAAGGGCAGCCAAATAAGGAAAGAACTCTAACTCACTGACTTGGCCAGGGAGTAACTCCATTTCACTGATTTGGCTTGGCTATAATGTTTACTAGTATAACTTGCCAAGAAATATCTCCCACTCAAATGAGCGACTTTGTGAAAGAAATTCAGGAGCAACAAGAACAAGAAACAAATTCATTCCCGCCAAATGCTTCACGTAAAAATAGTAACATAAAACATAAGCTTAGTGTAATTGCTTCGACTTACAGCAGTTGAAAATTTTTTTTTTACTGACAAAGTTTAAAACTAATTATGAGTTGTGTAAGAATTTGGAAAAAGTCATATACTTTAATTGATAGAATCTTTAACTTTTTCTAAATATTTATGCATTGTTCTTGTTCACTTATCAGTGTGATGGCGTGTTAAATTAAATTTATATTACTTACTGGACTCTTAGCGTTTTGTACTTTCATTATGGAATAGCGATCAACGTAAAGATGCAAATGACTTACCGCTGAAATAAATAAAGTACGGGAAAAGTTAGTGAAAAGGAATACTTCAATTGTTTACATGATTGGTCAGTAAACTGAATAATGGATATCAGATTTCCGTGCCAATTTTTACTTTTTAAGACTATTTATTCCATGGAGTAAATTCAGCACTGAAACTGAGAAACTTCTCAGAGTTCAGATAATTCTTGTCAATCTTAACGCTCAATAAAATTACTTTACCTTCTTGTTGGACTTTAAATGAACTAGTTGCTTTGAAAGTGAAATTCACTTACAATATGTATAGGTGTAGAGCAGTTATGCATTTTGTCCACAATTTATAAATTATTTATCGCAGCAATTAATAAAATCATCTAGATATGATTCCGAAATATACTTTTCACAACTAATTACTTTCAACTTTTTCAACTAAAATAATCCATCACAACGCAAACAAATCTTGAAAGTAAAAAACAATTTTTGCTTCCGTTTGCCTTACTCTACCTATTAAGTACTAACCACTAATGAATGAATGATTACCACAAACGCAAATTTATTTCCATATTTTAATCTATAAACGAACTAGTAGAGTAAAGTTATTAGCGCTACTTTTTTCATTCATTTTAGATTTTCAATTATAAATCATCCATTTCTTCATTCCGTTCCATATAACTTCATTTCCATTTCTAACACGAACAACACCTTGCATCAACCGCACTACACTTGTATCTCTGTTCGCACTCCATTCCATATACAATATTCAATAATTTTTAATTATTTCAAGAACGAAAACTACCACAGATTCGTTATATCATTTCTTTCACAGATTTGTAACTTTTATTTCGTCTTTTTTCTTTCTAAAAAAATGGAAATCGTGTAACCAAAAAAATTCAAAATTTATGGGCAAAATACCAAATATTGCAAAAGAATGGTCTGACAACAGTTAACGACTATTTCTGTGCCATTTTTGTACTAAAATTCATGCTGTGAACTTTTCAAACAACTGATGTCATTCTCGAAACTTTTTAAGAACTAGTACACTTTTGAAATTGCAAGCAGTAAAAATTATAGTTTGCAGGAGTCCTTTCGCACAAAAAGTGAGACTGTAGCAATTATTTTATTCAGTGTTAATTTTCAAGGATTTAAACATAAACATTAGCTACTCAAAGTAACCTAAGGAATATGTTACAATTCGTAAGATATGCAGAATACACACAACTGCACAGAGATCACAACCGGATTAACTTACAGTAAAAGTGAAAAACACTTTAAATAAATAAGGAAATAAATTAATAGTTTCATGTCGTTTAGCATTTAGCTAAATACAACATTTTACAAATGTTATCGCATAATTAAAGTAATATGCAAAATTTATTGGATAGCTGCATTATATTGGGGAAACGAAGAAACAACAATAAACAAACTGTATGAATCAGAATCAATATTGTCTGGATGCCTGTTTCATTCAGTAGTTCATCAGGAAAGACCAACTCAGTCAGCATCAAGCGTATCTAAACAATTATTCTAATCTGTTTATTTAACATTCTTAAAGATAGTCCATGTACAGACACACACTCACTAAATGTCAATCTCTGTATAAGTATATACTGAGGAGGTCAAATAAGATGTACTTGATTTGTGATAAAACAAGGGAGAATTCTTCGCAACAATCAAAACTGAAGTCTATGCGTGAATGATGAAAGTAGGAAAGACTTTACCACTAGTAAAAATTAACTGCTATCGTCATATATTCAAACTAACATTAATTAACAATGAAAAACAAGTAAATATGACATATGGAAAAATATGACCTGACTAGAAGGAAGATTTAAGTATAAAATATGAGTTAAAAAAAACAAGAAAGAGACAACTGCTGGAAATAACTCATACATTCAAAATAATGTGCAAAAAGGTCAATAGAACAGGAGTTGAATTGAAAGAAAATTCATGCTAGTTTCTAACTACTTAATTATCTGTATAACTGTTAGAATGAAAAAGAATTAACTAAATGAAGATAAATTAATTTATAATACTGAAAGTTAGTAACAACATCAAAAGATAAATTAACTACCAAATCTGAGATAATTTACAGTTAAAATAAATACATTTCACTAATACAGTGTATTACTACTTTCATTCTTTGTATTATTATTATTATTACTATTATTGCATCCATTAGAGTTAATGGTTGCTTCAGAAATTTCACAAGATTTTTCATTTTTTATCGCTTCAAAACGTACTGTCGGTGTTCTGTGAGAAAACTCACAAACTTCTTCATCTTTCTGATTCACAACACAAAGTGTAATTTCTCTTTTCCGCATAATTTCACTAGTACTATCTCTGTCAGCACTTTCATCATCTTCACTGCTGAATGCATATCTACTTCGATAAGTAGTACATGGCTCACTGATGTAACCTGCTTCAATTGATTCCACATCTTCAGTGCAGTAAGTAATTTGTGATTCCACATCTCGTTCCCTTCCTTCTTCGTCTTCTTCTTCATCATCTATCCACCAAGCATCTGATGTTTCATCTTCTACTACTTCACCATTCATGCTGTTTTTTTCACGCACTTTGGGAACTCTAGAAACCTGTAAAAGATGTTCGTTCATTTATAGCAAATATTTGAAAAAAATAGTTTCATTTCTTTGGCAGTACCAATTTTATCTTTCACTAAATACTTGCAACACTACTGCATCACTTTATCGTCCTTACTTTATATTAGTGTGAACAACTATTATAATCAACTTTGAACTCTCTACTTCACTTTCAACACCACTTGAAAAATGCATTCACATAGTTATTATTAGCGACAGCTTTAAAGATCGACAAACCTGGGCAGCCAAATTTGTGAATGACGATGCACGACCATGGTCATAAGTCAGTAATTTTGATGGTTCTCGATGCCAGTAACGACGTTTCAGTGAGCGTAATTTTTCGGCATCGATAACGCTCTTCAGATCTTCATTTGTTTTCACTAATTCACTAAATTCTTTCACACCATGTTTATATCCAAGGTTCTATAAATTGATTCAGTATCGCTGCAGCGATGTAAAAAATAAAAAAATGAACTGACCAAAAAGTAATAATTCAGATTAAGAAGTAGTAAAAGGTCAGCCAACCAAAAATTTTAAAGTAACATGTACTTCAATGTCGAGCGAAATAATTTTATGGAATACTCATACAAAAAAAAGAACTCACGCGTATTTCATCGTACTTATGAAAATCTAAGGTTTTAAACTCCTCAACAGGTGGTCGCACATACTGACAGTACCCTGCATTTTTAACTATCTGGAGTTGTTGCACACACGATACATACGCCAGTCGACTCTGAAGAATGTTTTAGTAACAGATATCATAGCAAAAATGACAGCATGAAACAATTTTTTTCAATTTACATAAGTAAAATTACTGGTTAAAGAAAACTGCAAGAAACATACAAATTTCAGAACTAAAAATATTCTGACATAAAAATAAGAGCCAGTAATGTTAAACTACCTGTATTTCCTCCATATTCAGAACTTTGATAGGTTTAGCAAATGGATTCAACTTTTTCAATAACACCCAAAATCCGCTTAACGAGTCACCGTAATTATACAAATTTGTTTCAGCTGCAGAACCAACATCTACTGCGATCACAATTTTGGCTCCTATAGACCTAAAATATATGCATTGAAAAAATTTATTGTTAGTCTGGATAATAAACAAAAGCTTCATGTATTTTGATATAAACAGTTCGTCATGTTAGTTTCGGGTATAATTAGATTTTCTCTTTTGTAAAAAAAATTATGCTAAGATTCATAATTTTTCAGATGTCTCATCTTTTCAATACGTTCTTAAACAATAATTTGCACCATTTTGCACATTTGTACCAAAGAACTGAAAACTACCTAGAATAAATGTATTACAAGCTACTAGCAAAGTCGCTAATTCGAAAAATTATTTAAACGTATAAGGAAACATCGCACTTACTGCATAACATCCGCTGGTAAATTGTTGACATAACCGCCATCTAGCAGCAAATGACCATCAACTGGATCACATAATGGAGGAAGGTAACCAGCCAGTGACATCGAAGCTCGACAATAAGCCCATAACGGACCAGTGCGATGGACACGCATTTCCGAGCTACTGCAGTAGTATTACAACCATACGCTTTTGTATTTTTTCTAAGAGATACAAAGTAAAAAGAGACGGAAATTTCGTTTGATGCTTGGCAAACCTTATGTCAGTGCTGATACAGAAATAAGGTATCCACAAATCTTCGATTAGCGAATCTGAGAACAAATCTTGAAGCCCATGGTTAAAACCGGCACCAGTGAACATTGCGGAATGAGCATAAGTTAAGTCCCATATTTTTGGCCAAATGGAAGCCATCATCTGAAGATCAGTCAGTCAGTCAGTGATTCAAATTTTGAGGTTTTACTTGGAAAAAGTCTGCTATTTCATAGTTTATCACATAACTGTATTATATTAATCAAAAAAATTAATCCTAAGTTTGAATTAAAAATAATTTTCTTTTGGAGTAATTGAAATTTCATTGTTGTAATGCTCTGCTCACTTAGTGACTATTAAATAGTTTCAATTTTGCTGCTATATCATTGTCTAACAAATACTTTCTCAAATCTCACTGAATGAATGTAAAGCTAGGTTTCTTTAGTTTTTTTTCTTCTCTTATTATTAAAATCAAAAACCAAATGGCTTTACATGGATAAATTACGTGATTCTGGTAAGCAGCGATTCTCAGACTGGTAAGAAAGTGTGTCATTATTTATGAAAATATCGTAACTCAATTTATCATACAACTTTATCTTGAAACATTTGTTTTTCAATCAAATTACAGTTAAAACAACATAAATGAAGTACTCATTTTAATGTAATATTGATAAAAAATTTTGTTAAACTTCGTTCTTGAAAACAAACAAACAAACAAACAAATAAGATCTACATATTTTAGTCACAGATGGACATTAATATTAAAGTACAAATAAAAATAACTTCGCTTAATTTATTTAAATTCAAATAACAATATAAAGAGTATACCATAAACCAGCTATGTGCTCTTTGTTCTACATCTTCATGCGTTTGAGCATATAAACCACTAATCATAGATCCGATCGATGTTCCACCAATCATATCTATCGGTATACCATGTTCATGTATTGCACGTAGTACACCAACATGAGCTGCACCTCTGTAATAACAGAAAGGTGATATTGCTCGCATTGACTTCAGAAAAATTTAATTTATATTTGCTTTTTTTTTCAAATATCATCCACTATGTAATCTAACTACAAAATTTAGAGTAATATATTGATTACACCTTGCGCCACCACCGCCAAGAACAACACCAATAGCATTTCCAGTCAGTATTCGAGCCAATCTTGAAAAGTCAGAACCACTTTCAACTTTTCCCCCATATACATTTTGTTCATAATAAGATACTATGTCAGATTCAGACACCTAAAAAGAGATAAATAAAGTAATAGAGATAGGAATCAAGGCTGTGATTACAAATAACATGATTTTCAATTATCTTCGACAGCAAGTGTTTACAAAGCTCACCTTTTCTAAATCCCACTGTACCATTCGTTTAGGAATGCGAATATGATGATGACCAGAAAACCAACTACCTTTCAACCATTCAATCGTTCCTCGTGGTTCGACCGTTCTTTCATCCCAAAGAAGAATCAACTCTTTATTTGTCCGGATACCATCTTTTCTCATATTTAAATAGTCATCCATCTCAAATTCAAACAATAATATTAACAAATGCATGATATTATTAATTTTTGAGAGGACAAATTTTTTTGTAACCAAAAAAAAATATAGTCAAGCAAAACTAACAAGAGACTGCTCTGATGGTTTCTGCTCACCATTAGCGACGAACAATATAGCATCTGCCTGCCGAAGACAGCGTCGTGTCCAACTTGTAGCACTTGCATCACATTCATAAATGATCAGTGGATACGTATCTTCTTGTAAATTAAGCCAATGCATAAGACGGAAATCTGCTTGCCTATGATAGACTTACTTCATTGACGAATATAATATATATAGTAAAATAAACACAACTGAAATGAACAAACTGAAATAAGCAAAAAATTTGGTAAATAGAACAAGCTTCAAATCAGCAGTGAGACATGATCTACCAACAGTTTGAAGGACTCAAGAAAAAGTCAAAAATCATTGTTTTTCATACTACTTTTTTTTTCGCTTAAATACTGAAAAGGCAAATGTAATGGAAATCTGTTTCACTTCATAATCTTTCAGCTTCAAACATGCCTCTTAAAACTGTAAAAAATAAAAGGAACTGCTTGAAGCCATCAAAGCTTTCATTAGAAACACTTTCTGCATGCAGTTAAAAAAAATAAAAGACAGAAATTCATAAATTGTATGGATAAAAAAAATTAAATTATCAAATTACAAACGGCTTAAAACTATTTTGATATTTAGAAAATAGTAATGATTACGAGTTGCAACTACGATTATCAGAGTCAGTTTGAATACAACTTCAATATCACTTGACCTTTGGTTGGAAATTTGAAAATAACAGTATTTGGAAGACAAGTATAAGGTTTAAAAATAAAATTACAACACTTCAAAATCTAAAAACGATGCTGGTTATTAACGACTTTTTGAATACAAGAAATGAAAGGAAAAATTACCCATTGCTGGTTTCATCTGTTAAAAACCTAAATCAATAATAGATGAATTTGTGACAAAGAAAATTCTGCATAATAATTTGCTGAAATTGTAAACAAATCTTTCAAAGTAAAAATTAGCCCAAGCCACAACTTACTTCTCCAGGATACTAGAATCCAGCTGTTCTGCGATTTTTTTACTGCTTAATCGCAAAACTCGTAAATTTGCAGTCAGCGCATGATAGAGTTCACACGTAAATGCAACTAGTGGAACATCTGAACTTGCAGCTGCCACGGCAATGGTATGTAGATTCTATAAACATCTAGGGAAAACCAGATCTTTGCTTTAAAAATATTTGAAATTTCTAATTACTGAAATGCTCAAGGTAAGATAAAAAAATATTTGGAATCATGTAGCAAGCACTTGAGTAGAATATTTACTTTGATATGACTTTGCGGGTCACCAGTTGTCATTGAAAGACCATCTTTATACGCCCCGGCAAATGTGGGTGTACGCTGTATCGAAGAAGAATAATACTGACCCAACAAGTGAACGAGACGAAATCCGACCTGCAAAAAATTTATTGTATTTAATTTCGATCATCTTTATTAACTAATAATATGAAAATTATGGAAGTCACCTGAGGATATTTTATTTTGACGAAATTCAGAAGTCCTTCGGGAAGTCGGGCCAACTGTGAGAAACGAATTGCAAGTACAGTTGTGGAACGCGGAACTCGCTGTAAAACCTAAAAAAACGACTTGATTAAAAATATTATATTTTTGAAAAAAAACGCCATAGATATTACAGAAATACCACTTGATAGTTCAGCACCTTTTACATTTTATTATTAAGGTAGTGTATTTAAAAATAGCATAAAAATATTATCAGTGAGAAGTTGCCCGTTTAGAAAATCTAACCAGTCAAAGACGGATATTTCAAAGATTCCATTAAATTTTCAGATCTAATTTTGGGAGAAAATTTATTTGTTAGCGAGTAATACTGAAAAAAACAGCTTAAGAAGGAAGCAGTACAATGATGCACCCTAGAAAAGAATACAGACCTCTATCATTCCTAAAACATCACCTCGTCCAAATTCATCAATTATTCTCTTGTTTTCCACAGATCGAAGTCGCCCACTTAATACCACAAATATTGAATCAGCTAAGTCCCCGCTCCTAAAAAAAATATTTAGTAAATTAACAAAACTTGATACATTTGTCTACTTGGGTGTGATAAAACTCCCCTATACACAGCTTGTCCAGAATCAAGTAATACCCAATCGACTGCAAAGTCAACATTGCGAACAAAAGGACTTAATCGTCGTATCACTGAATGTGCGACTGGCAATATGATTTCTGGATGAAGATCAGCCAATCTAAGCATAAATTACTCGATGAGAATTTGGAGCAATACCAAATAAAAGAAAATGGTCATGATAATAGTTTTTACTAATAGGTATTCCAAACTATTACTAAAGAAGTGCTTATTTTTTCATTATTCATAAGTCTGCTTAGGATATAAAGTGAAAAAATTGAAACACTAACTCAAAGAAATCTTTTTTGGAGATCACTGCGTACGTGGCAGGTGTATGAGATCGAACAGTCACAAACCAAGGCTCACCAGTAAGTAATTGTAATCCACCAACCAATTCACGAGGATATATGAAGATGTTTTCTTCATCTGCATATTCGTCTTCACCGTCAATCGGTTCCTGGCATTGAGTTTAATATATTACAAATTAGTACGCAACAAAATTAAGAAAAATCTTTCAATACATTATCGGTGCAAAAATGATGCTTAGATGCATTTAAGTTATATAAATTTTAAACTAATAAGTAAAGAAAAAATTTTTGTTCAAACTATTCACTTTATGTATGCTACCTGTGAAATCGTCAGCAGACCACTCAGAATTAAAATTAATAATTCGTCTTCAGAATTCTGTTCAACAATAAGGTGTTTTTCGGGAACATTTTCAATCATTACACGACCAGCAAGCAGTGATACTGCTTCAGGATTAGACCCTAAAAATAATGCCTCAGCGAACCATCGCAGTGCTGTTGCCATATATTCTTTTGCATCTGAAAACAGAAAAACTTTCCAAATCTCTCAATAAACTGTTGTAACCGAGAAAAATTTAGAAATGCTATTCTAACAACCCAAAATATGTTTGCTATCAATTTGAATTAGCAATATGAATCAAATAAATAAAATTATACCATCAACGCTATTTAGGCGATGCAAACGTGGTCGTCCTACTTTGTTTTGAAGTCGGATTGCATTATTATTTACAGGAGCATTTCGATGACGCTCATCAATATTACGTTTCTCTTCCAAACGCTAAAAATGATTGCAATTAAAGACATCTAGTCCAAAAATTGTATTTATTTCTGATCTACATAACATAAAAATCTTAGAACTAAAAAAAAAGAATGCCACTATGTTAAATACTCAAAAACATAAATCTTGAAATAACAAAGTTTGAATAGTATGAAAATCAAATTTACTCTTTTCGCCAATTCTGTACTTAATCCAAGATACTGATGAAGCGTTGTCAAAGTAACATGCAATAACCGCGTGAGAACAATTTGAATTGGACGAACCCAAAGTTTCGGATTTCCGAGAAATGAATTTCGAAAACTACACATGCTACATCTGCAAAAAGATTCATGTTTACATCCAAATCATAATTTTTTCTCTACAAAAAAGAAAACATGTTGATAAATGACTTTATTCGAGTTATTAATTCAGTTTTAATGAGATGATCATTCATGATTTACGTAATATATCGAGTTTAGATTCCTCTAATTTTTGAACCGATAAAAGCATGCAACTTTTACAGTGATTTTTTAAACTGCACAAGCTATGTATAGTCAAAATCTAAAAATTGTCCCATTTGCTGATATAAATTTTGGGCAACTTTTATATCTATTTTAAAAATTGGAAAATGCTTAACATTCAAATAAGTTGTAGCATTTATAATTTCCAGAAAAATGAGCACTAAAAGCAGTTTTCACTTTATATGACGTCATTTTCATTCATTTTATTAGTAAAATAAAACATATAGAAAGTATACCTAACAACTCTGCTTGAGGTCAATGCTCTCACTGATATATTCCGAAAAGTTGTTTCATTGTTCTAAAAGAAAAAATTTCAGAAAAAAAATTTATGAAAAAAGGAACAAATTGATGCAAAAATTTTGCTTACAGAAAATAGCAGTTTAAAAAGAAATACAGAAATAATACCATTAGAACATCCAGCATTGATAAAAGACTGAAGAAGCTGTCACCTACAGTGATTTTTCGTACCATTAAATCTTTTCCTTCCGAATGCTAAAATGGATTATTTAATAGTATTATTTATTGATTTTCATAATTTTGCTTTGAAAAATGACGTTAAAATGACGTAGAAAAACATGAATAATGAATAACCAACTTCAAGTTTAACTGCATTAAAAAGAAACATACTTTTATAAATACAGCGATTAACCCTTCCAAAACAACGATAATATGATTATCTTTATCACCAGGTCTAATAAGATAATCATTTTCTTTATACTCCTCCACTACTATATCCTTCCACTGGATATACCACTCTGATGGTAATTCCAACATCCTACACAAGAAAGATGCTTCAATCATGGCAAAAATGACGAAAAACTTGACAAACCTAATCTCGTTTACAAAAACTTGAGAAACAACTTAAGCCTTCTGAATCATTTTCACCTTAAGTACTGACTCATTATTTTACAGTTTATTTACACTAAAAATGAGAATGAAATTTACTTAAGATTATGCATAACATAGTAAACTTCTGGCTTCTCGTTTTGAGGGACATGTGGAACTTCTGATGGTTCAAAAAATTGTGAAGGAGGCTTAGGTAAAGTTGTATTAGTCATTTCTGAAAGCTGTCGCTGGAATTTCGTTGAAGTACCATGGACAATGAAGCTAAAGATAAAACTTCATTATATTATTTACATTCTCATTACTATGCACCATTTTATTTTACAGATTCTATACTTAAAATTATTAACTCTCCTATGATACAAGAAAATAATTAATATTTTGACACAAAATGAATTTCAAATTTTGTTTATTTGACAATGAAAGTAAGTAATCAAAAACATTGATACATTTTTTGCTTATATGAAAAAAATCAAAAATAAGTATGAAAATACCTCTTAAGCGTGAACTTCTGAATATAATTAAAAACGACAGAAACTTGCAAAATTACGAACTCTTTAGCAGCGCGAGCAAGTTGGAAGGGACCAACATTAGAATCTCGTCGTCCCGTCACTGTTTTTCGTCGAGTTAAAAATCGATGATCACCGTTTTCGCTTGATTTTAGCAAACTATTTGGCCTCTGAAACTACAAAAAAAAAGCAAATAAAATTATTTCAAATATAAAATTAGCAAGCGAACTAAAAAAAAATGAAATTAGCATACAAATACGACCTTATTATTTATTTAAGAAATAAATTCCTAGGCATTAATGTTTTGCTTCGGAAATATGAATAATCAAGTAAGAAAATGTCAAGCCAAGAGGAAGGTCATTAATAGGACAAGGAAAAATTAAGTGAGATTCCCAAACATCCCTTCACAATCAATCACTTGTTACTGATGACAAAATCAAGCCTTTTACTGTTGTTATTTGTAAAGGATTAAACAGTTTGCTTGTTGCCGAGTATTATAGCAGCACCTGACCCACTAGCTATTTCAACCGATTAAATTTTTCTGTCAGTAAAAATCAAAGACAACATTTTGAAATGCGTTTAACACAGCATTCTTTAGCCGAAATACTAAACTGTAGCTTAACAGTAATTTCATGACTGATATATTCAAACGTAATATACCTTAAAGTACTGATTTGTCATCAGAGAATCACATTGCAAAGGATGAAAAAATCGCCTTCAACACATAAATACATCCTTCAATCATACAAATTTATTCTGAGTGATAAAAATTGACATACAAAAATGAGTAAAAAATTTTTTAATTCGATGAACCGAAATGCTCATTACTAAGTAAAATATATAAAAATGAGAAAGACTCGGAGTGGTCCAAAATGTATAATCTAAACAGTGTAAGTTCTGATAAGGCAAATTGTGTAAAATACCTCAAATTCTTATTTCATTTTTAATGAATACTTAAAAGAGTAAAATGTTGTGGAGATTCCCATATTAAATCACTCTCTCAATAAAATGATATGCTCAAAATTAAGAAAAGATGATTGAAAAATTTAAAAGAAAACA